TTTTTAGAATGGGTTTCCTTAATGGCAAAGGCTCTAAGAAGTTTTCTGTAGAATTTAATTCTCGGAAAACTTGCTAGAAAACGATTAAAATTTGTCAGAAATAGATGAAATTATAGGACTATATGCAGTTTTTCATGCTCTTTCCAGTGGTGTAGTTGACAGAACCCTTGAAACTAATTTTTGAAAAATAACTCTTTCGTTTTTTAAAAAAAATTTAAGATCATGAGAAAACCAATTTTTTAGACTTTCTTTCTACTCAGACTTATTGCTGACGACTTCTTCTTTCCAGCTGATCGATTTCCGACACCTACAAACTATTAAAAAACTGTTTATTATGGAGTAGATGAAAATGGCTTAAACTTTGTCCGCTGGATAAAAACGCTTTTTTCTCCTAGGTCAACAGCATGTATTCTGAGAAGATAAAATCAGTCCATTTTTGTAGCCCATAGTCTGGAGTATCCTATTTGGATGCTTATCAGCTTTTGAAATTGATAAGGAGAAACTGAAAATATAAAATAGCTTAAAATTTTCTCCGCCAGTTTATGTTCCATTCACCACCGCACAGCCAATGAGGAAAACTCCCTTTTCTTCTTTTTCTTTAACCTCCACACAACTACTAACGCATTTTTGGATATTTTATCGATAAAAAATAGACAAATTTCTATTCGTTGGTTCCAGCCAATCCAAATAGAGACGCTGAGACGGAGCCGCTAGATCGAGACGCAAATTGCACCTACCCTGTCCGTCGATATGTCTGTGTCTTGTTGTTTTTTTGTTTTTGTCGTCTGTATGTTCTAACATCCCTACGACTTGAATGTCATGCATTACATGTTCTAAATAACAGAAAAAACATACATTGTGGCTTACGACAAGGACGCCATTTTTTTGCTATGTCGTATTTTTTCCCACTATTTTGAACATTCATACCGTGAGATCAAGGAAAAGCGATACTTTTAAACGATTTCACCGTTAACTTTTGCTGTCATGGTTTTTTTGAGATATGATGAACTCTATTTCAGTACATCTTCCAGTAAAATTCAGCCTTGTTGTTAGTCAGAAAGCCGGTGCTAGTTACTTGTTTGTTTTTTTTTATTTCGTTCGTCTCCTATAGCCACTCATTGTGTTGCCTGGCTTGAGTCATTGTTATTACAGGTCGTGGATCTTTGATGGTTCTCACTTTTCGTGAGTAAATAATAATGTGACACCTTTCTCGCAAAAGAGAAATTTTTAGGTAGCAGAGTGATTACGGAGTTATTCGATGAGAGCGCTATTTGGTAGCTGTATTTTTGCAACGTTGTGTGATGCCCTCAACAAATATCTCTGCAGCCATTCTTCTACATATAAATTTCCCTTTTACAAATTAAATTACTTAACATTTCCAGTCTGAATTTCAAAATTCTGTCGATTGAATTTCAGCTGAGCGCACTAAAGTTTGAGGTGCTGTGAACTTTTTCCTTCATCATTGTTTCTATTAACTGTCCTATAAAGCTGAAAAGACCTTCAAAATCTGCCACCCTATGTTACCAATGGTCTATGAGTGAGGTGTGTAGCCTGTCTCACGATGAATCTAACCAGCTTATTTTTTTACTTTAGAATCATTGGGCACATGGTGGAAAATGGACTTTTCTGATGACTACTCCTTTTCGTTATATTAATAGTAAAAACCTCGTATTTCTAAAACGAAGTAATCTTAGAACAATCGGTTTGTGGCATCGAACAGAGGAGAGTAAGATGCACAATATTCTGAAAAAATGTTTTTAAATCTGCTTAACACCCATGTTTTTAGCATAAGTTTGTTCAAGTGCTTCATGATCATTGAGAGATTATGTACACTTTCATTTTTCATTTTTCTCATCTATCATAGTAGCTAGAACAAATTTGAAAAAAACCTGAAACAGCTGAACGGATTTCCAATCTGACGAGATGTATATAACGGTTCTATCAAAACTCCTTAATCGAGGGTCTCTAGAAAACCAAGTTCCCGAGTTCGACCTAGAAATTTTTCGCAAATAACTCTGTCATATAGAGAAAACATTTCTGAACACAATAAGACGTCGTCGATCTCTCTGCGACATTTTTCCACGAAACAACATTCAATTTACAGAAGGCTCTAAGGGAGTAACTTTCTTGTTGTCCCATTAATTCTACTGATTTTGGTAGTATGGAGCCTTCCATAAATTGAATGTTGTTTCATGAAAAAATGTCGCAGAGTGTTCGGTAACGTCTCACTTTGTTCAAAAATGTTTGCTTCATAAGAGGGAGTTATTTGGTTACAGAAGAAGTCCCTGTGAGACGATGGTTAAAGCAAGATGCTAAGGAACCAACATTCGTATGTACATTGTGTAAAACGGGGGAATTAGATTGTGGGGACAAAGGATGGCAGTTAATCATACAGCATATGAAGAAAGATAAACATCGTGAAAAAATGAAAGAGTTGAAAGAAAATACCACATTTGTTTCTCCAATATCTTCGTCTCATACAGCCGCAATTTTATCACAAAGTTCATCTACATTCACCTTTTAAACTAGAATAACTCCTTTTTGCTGTGTTTTTCTCAGTTTTTTACGTAGTTTAAAACACTTTATGTGGGATGAAATCATTTCCTTGAGAGCCTTAATGAATTGAAGCCACTCAATAACTGTTGCTGTTGCGGAATAATCGTTGGTACTTGCATTTGTGTGCCAGGGCTCGAACCAGGCCAGGCTACAAATTTTCGGCCTGCACCAGGCTAAGGCAGACCAGGTCTAAACTGAAATAGATTCAGGCAGACCTTTGAAAACACCAGGCGGCCTAGCCTAGTTATTAATGAAGGCCGTGCATCACTAAATCGTGACACGATTGAGGATATCTTGTTAGTTCGATCAGTTCAGAAAATACTTGAACAAAAACCAAATCATTTACTCAGATATATTGTTTAATTATCTGTCACTTTTCTTTTCATCGTATATTACTATTCTTTGTACATTTTGTTTATTAAAAAAATGATCAGGCTTCTACAGACCAGGTCAGGGTAGCCCGAGAACAATAGGAGGCAGACAGGCAAGACCCAGGAAATCTATCGACAGGCCCAGGCAGACCAGGCCTCAAAAGTGTCGGCCTGTTTCGAGCCCTGTTGTGTACTAGCTGTTACGGGCAAGGTTGAATCGGTGTCGCTGTTGTTTGATCATTTGTCACCTAAATCGAGAAAATATAAAAGCGTCTTTAGCGAACTGTGAAGAATCTTTATTGACATACTTGATTAAAGTACAATCTAATACTCCTAGTATTTTTCATTCTTTCTTCCTAACATAAGTCAATAAATTGTCTCAAAGTAAGACTTCTATACAAATCTAAGAGCATACCGTCCGGTTCTTAGGTAATTTACTACAATTTTAAAAAAGAACGTTAGTTTCTAAAGAAAAAAAACCAAAAAAACATAATATACACACACACGTACACAATACAGATATAAAACTACAAAAAACCAAAAAAAAAATACTTTTTTTGCTAAAACTCTTACCGTCTAATTCATGTTGATAGCCCCACGTTGATTCACTTGTCAACATTGTCAGTACCGCTTTTTCGCCAAAAAAACGACTCTTCCTCTTCTTCATCGTACGCCCCTCTTAAAAAATTTGTCACGTTCCTCTTTTCTCTGAAAGGACCGTTACGAAGCCAGTTTATCTTATTATCACTTATTTTAATGTTTTTTCTTTTGCTACTTGATAATGATAAGATTAAACAAGTGAGTAAGCGAGTCTGAGGGAGAGATAATAGAAACGTGCGAGAATCACGATCTATGTATTACAAAAGTATCAGTTTTTCTTTGATCAGGTCTACAGAGAGAATAACGAGATAAAAGTTCAGAAAACTGGGGTATCAAATAGGGCTGTTACAAGCCTTGAGACCGTGCATCAAAGAACGCATTCATTACTCAAAAATCCCGAAGCTCTACCGAGCTTTTGTGTCAGACGTAACCAGTTTTCTCTGCTGTATCTGAAACTAGTGCAAATGTTCTACATAATGGCTTTACCCAGCTTTTTTGTGCTCAGAAAGGGAAAGCCTAGGTTAGTAACAGGAAAAATGTTACATGTGACGGTAAAAGCGTGTCATTTTATCCCATTGATTGATCATAACCAGTGAAAAGTGATGTTACAGTGAGTTTTCATATTTTTCGGCTTTTTACAGTGTGGTTTTTGCTATTTTTTTCAAAGTACTTTACATTTTTAAATATCAGCTTATTTTATTTAGATTCTATCGAAATGAACTAGATTTCTTGAGAAGAAAGATGTACCCTTCGACTTCGACAGCGATAACTGAAGTCTGTTTTATTCTCTTATTTTAAAAATTTTCACCTGAAAGAAAGGGAACAGAGTACATTCAACCTTTTGCTCTTTTTTACATAACGTTGTTTTGGTATTCAGTCTAAACTTTAAGTAGTTACATATTACATAATGCAGTCAATATATAGTCATCTTTATTGTTGTTTTGTTATAGATTTAATGTAAAATGGCTACATCATCAACAGCTGAAAAACTTAATTTGATTATTTTGGGTGCCACTGGTGGTACTGGGCTTCAACTTGTTGAACAAGCATTAAAAAGAAATTATAATGTGACGGCACCAGTTCGAAATCCGCAAAAATTACAGCATATAAACCATCCAAACTTGAAAGTAAATATGCACTAGCCATTTATAGAGATGAGTCAGATATGAGTGAGTTGATAAAATACCAGTTGACCAGCAAAATAAAATATCCAAATGATTGGTATTAGGATTATTTCTCTAGTTTATGTTTCTAAAGCTCTTTAAGTGAAGGACATTTTTCTATCATCTTTTTCAGTTTTATACTGCACAATCCTGATGGCTATTCTTTAGGTTGTTCAATGTGACTTGATGAATCCACTTGATTTAGCTTCAAAAATGGAAAATCACCATGTTGTTTTATCGGCATTAGGTCAACCCGGTCTACAAATATCTGCAATGACATTCTATGAAGATTCAATGAAATCTATAATAACAGCCATGAGAAATTCAGAAATAAAACGTTTAATATGTATAACAGCATTTTATACAAAATGTAAAGTAGAGCAAGAGAGAAATGTGAGTTATGAAAGAATTTAAAAAGCTATTTTGTTTTCTCTTCAGATGAACCATCGGTATACCCACTGAAATTTAAATTAATAATTCGTCCAATGATTGGTCGTCATTTGGATTCAATGTTTATTATGGAAGAATATCTCCAAAAAGAATGTCAAGATATTGATTACACGATCGTGAGGCCACCACGTCTTCTTGATGATCCAATTATTGGTAAGTAATTTAACTAAATTGTTCTTGGCAACATTCAACTTGTTTATTTATTCTTTTATTTCTAGAAAAAGCTGTTAAAGTTCGCGAAGATGATTATTTTTTTCCGGATTATTCAACGGCAAGCCAAATTCCACGCGCCAATGTTGCACGATTTATGTTAGATACATTGAAAGATGGTCAATATTTAAAGAAAGCTGTTGCTATTGATATGCCAAAAATGATGGAAAAGTCTGGCTGATTATTTACTCGTTCGCGTATTTTTTTTTTGAAAATCTGTTCATATTTTTATTAGAACCGTGAAGCTAGTTATGATTATTTTTATCTGTTAATGAAGATTTATTTACATTTTTGAGCATCTTTTTGTTTATATATATATATTTGTTTTAAAGATAATGTAATCTTGTTCTTTATCTCTTTGAGTCATTGCATGGGAAATAATCTATATACATAAATCAAAATTGACAGATTGTTATTGGCTTTTTTCAATCAGATAGACTTAACTCACCTTCAGTCTTTATAGCACCGAAAAAGAAGTAGAAAAGCTTCGTGTTATCGTAATTAAACATGAGACTGCCCCTATTTGTTGACACACATCTAGAGCATTTGCTTGGAAACTAAATAAACGTAAATAAGATATGTATGATAAGATGTCTACGATTTAATGATTTTCTAGTTCTCAACTGTAGCACTTTTGATTATTGGACGAGAGCAGGTTAACCAGGAATCTCAGATCCATAACACGATAATCAGAAAATAAAAGTCCAAAATTAGAAAAAGCTGAGAAAAAGAAGTAGAAAATCAGAGAATCAGTAGACGTTAGGGCAAAAAAGAGCAGAAACGAGGCAGAAAAAGTTCCAAAAATCAGAATTTTTCTGCCAGAAGCAGAAGGCTTGGGATCCTGAGGTTAACTCTTGTGGGTGGGTTACAGATCGAACGCTTTTGTATAAATATTGTATAAGTAGCAAGAGAAGAAATTCCAAATCTTTTTACTCTAGATTTCATTTTGATTTATCTCAAATATTATTAACCATCTTTTATTTGAAAAGAATGACATCTGCGCAAGCGTAAGTTCACAATCATTTTTTTCCTTTTACGTGATGGCGTTTTGTTTAGCTACGATTACTCTACCTATGATTATGGTGATTATAATACTAATCCTGGTTATCCATCGTCGGCTTATCCAAGCCAAAGTGCAGCCTATAGTGGATACGACACATCAACGTCACCATACGGTCCGACTTCAACATCTGCAGCAGCTTATCCGGCTTACGATGGTTATTCAACGGCATCTTATCCATCAGGTTGGTAAGGAAAATAGTCAATTGAATTGAAATACTTTTATTATTTTATCGTTAGGTTCGGCTAATTATTCAACTGATCCATATGCCGGATATTCGTCATCTTCAGGTACATCTTTCTTTTTTTTACTTTGTGAATCTTTTCTTTACAAGTACAAGATTTTTTTTAGCCTATGCTCCTTATTCATCGTCCTCATCTGCTCCCGTAAGTCAACCACCGACGCAGTCTTATTCGTACGGTTCATCATATGGCGCAACACCTTATGAACGTCGTACACCTCCATTGCCGCCTTCATCTCATCATACAGTTTATGATTATTCTCCAACAACTGCTGGTGGAAATTATGTTACTCCTTCGTCATATAAACCGTCTTTATCTAGTACATCTCTCTACTCATCTCACCCGCATCCGGCTTCAACAAGTCATTATCCGCAGCCCACTCATCATTCAATTATTCCACAACATCAACCATCGCACCACCTTCAACAATCATCCGTACCTGCACACCACATTCCTCCAACGCATCATCAAGGTTTGCATTCGTCTCATTCATCATCGTCACTCTATGGTGCACCACCCAATGGAGTTCAAACATTACCACAACTCCAACCGCCAATGACTGGTATCTATAATTCAAATCCTCATTTAATGGCTATAGCTGCACGAAGACCAAGAGAATATTATCAATCACCCCAACAACCAACAATTCAATCGCAACCATTGCCCGTGCAACAACAACAGCAACCTCATCCTGTTCAACTACGGTAAGATTAATCTGATTCTTTTACATTTTTGTTTTTGTTTGTCTATATTGTACTTATTGCTCTGTAAGGGAAGTGATCCAAGATGTTGTGTCATTTTTGTGTAAATACTTCCAGTTATTTGTGTTTCTTTACTGCAACGAATTTTCCCATTATTTCTCTAATTATTCCCACTAGTCGAAAAACTTAATCACTATAGCAGATCTATTTACGATATACACGTTAATTTTGTTGACAGCATAGATGCATTGTTTTTCCCATCCATGATCTGCCCGAACACTCATTTCTTTTTTTGAAATACTTTCTATACTATCAACATTTGTAACAATTGAATGGATGCGATCATTTGTTACATTATGACACTAACAAGTGTTCAGTTTCAGGCAATTATATCTACCCATTATGAGAAATTATCTTTTCCTAGAAAATATTTTCTTCTTGCGTGTTTATGTGGTTTAAAATTTTTCTGAATACTTTCTCATAATCACGATATTTTGTTCCGTCATTGTGTAAGTAAATTTTAATTCCTTTGCTGTATTATCAAAATACTTGATGGGTGAGTTTGCTATGTTATCAGTCACTGTGTTAATTGAACTATGCGATGAATTTTTTTCTTATTTCCGCTAATATCTTTAAACTTTTTGACTCTGGTCTGGCAGTTAACTGACGTTTCTTCTATAATACGTTCTTATTCTTTTACGTTTGCTATTCCTGTTGAAGTAATTCCACATGCTAGTCACTAATAAGCTGATCAATATTGCATGACGCATGATAAACGAAATTTTTATGTAAAATTTATATTTCAGTACTGTTGTGCGTAACATCGTCTTTATTTTTCAATATGTCATATTATTTGTTAGGATTGATAATCGTCCGTTGATTTTTTCAATAATTCATTCATGATGTCTACCTGTTTTTATAACACGTGTGAAGAAATTTAATTATTTCACAATATCGTAATATCACATCTTTGATCTTTTAGGTACATTTGTGTGTGTGTGTGTGTATATACAAATTAACCTGTTCTCTCTACTTTTAATCACTTGTCTTGTTTTTAATTTTGTATTTTTAGGTTCGTCATATTATATGGATATATAACCTTATTTTCCAGTTTTCTTTATTCTGTTCCATACTATTTATGTTTTCTTGCGTTAATCTCAATAAGTCAGTTGATTTTCAAAAAAAATTATAAAATCCGCTGTTTAAAAATGAATGTGCTCTAGTTGTGATAGATTTTTCGTCTATCTTTATTCCTTGAGTTACGTTAACGTCGAATTTGCTTGCATTCTTCTCGCAAGAGTGTATCTTTTTTTCTGTGTACGTAAAGAGTTGACCTGAAGAATGGGAGTCGCTTCACATATTTCTGATTTACATCAATATACCTGTATCCTCTCTTTCTTCTTCATCTCATCATCTATTCAATGGAAGAATATGAAACCAATGTTGTTATTTTCTTTGTGTTTATTCCAGTTTGCCACCACGAGGGGGCTATCAACGTGAATTAGACGGTAAGAGTTTTAGCAAAAAACATGTTTTATTTTTTTTTTGTTACTTTTTTTTCTAGTTTTACATTATGTTGTGTACGTGTGTGTGTATACTATGTTTTTTTTGTTTTCTTTCTTTAGAAACTAAAGTTCTTTTTAAAAAATTGGCATTTTCATATTGCAATGCTTGTGTTTATTTCTCAGTTTAGTAACTCATGTTAGTAATATTGTTTTTCTATTTTATTTCAATAACAGAGCCTGGTGATGAAAATGAATTACTTCGACATGTGATATTCATTAGTGGTTTACCAAAAGAAATACAAAATGAAACATTAGCTGGAGTATTTGCTGTATGTGGAGCAATTGCACCGGTTAGTTTAAATAAATGTTTTTTTATAGCAGAATCATCGAATATTGAACATAATTTAAAGCAAAATAGCTAAGAACTGGACGGTATGCTCTTAGATTTGTATAAAAGTCTTACTTTGAGACAATTTATTGACTTATGTTAGGAAGAAAGAATGAAAAATACTAGGAGTATTAGATTGGTACTTTAATCGGGTGTGTCAATAAAGATTCTTCACAGTTCGCTAAAGACTCTTGTATATTTTCTCGATTTAGGTTGATGTTCGTTCAACAAAACCAAAAATTTGGGTCTATAAAGATCGTCAAACACGTGAAGGAAAAGGTGAAGCAACGATTACATTTATTAATGCTGATTCAGCACAAGCAGCCATTACCTATTTTGATGGTAAGAACTAAATTTCTAATATTGTAAAGTGACTAGTAAATTATTCTTTTTATAGATAAAGAATTATTTGGTCGTCGTATTCGTGTTACACTGTGTGCTCGTCGTTTATACAATATGCAAAAACAAAATACACCATTCAATAAAACAACAACAAATAATAATACAACAACTATCATAACAACTACAAATGATCAAACAACAGCGACACCGATTTCAACCTTGCCCGTAGCAGCTAGTACACAAATGCAAGTACCAACGATTATTCCGCAACAGCAACAGTTATTGAGATTGCATCAGACACCTGAGCAACAGCGGGGATTATTACCAACGCCACCAATTACATTAGGAGGGTAGGAAGATTCGAAATGAATAAGCGACAGGCAGCTGTTCTTCTAATCCTTCCACTAACTTTAGTGTACATCTCATATTTATTTGACATTAGATATATTTGGCGTAGAAACAAATTAAACACTTTTTCATTGACATTAAAGTATGTCATTGTTTTTCATTTGTATTATAGAACGCCACTCGTGCCAGCTGCAACACTTCCTCCACAGCAACAACGTGATGGGCCAAGGAAAGAACTACCACGTATTGGTATGAATAGGTAAGAGCAGCAGAGATCAACACAATTTCAGCTATTTCTATCCTTTATAAATGTACTATTTTTATTACTTTATTTCTCATGCTTTTTGAAACAGGAAGGATATGCATATCCATCTTAACCGAATTGTTTTCTCTTCATTTTCTTCAGAGGCACACATCCGCATCAATCTGGTGTTCGTCCAAAACCATATTAGAAAAAATAATTGCGTATAAAATTTGATTAGTTACTCGAATTTAGAAAGGTTTTCTTATAAAGAAAATAAAATCTGCGTGTTTTTGCGCTTGTGTGTTTAGCCACCTATAATTGGTTACTGTATTATGTATTCGTCTCTATCTCTCTCTCTCTATATTTCTGAAGGCGAACTGTGTGTGACTTCTTTTGGTTTGTTTTGTGTATTTGTATGTTCTTTTTTTTTTATGGTTATTTTTTCTTCTATTCTCTTGTTGTCGCGTCGTTCTTATTATTTCGTATATCCTCGTACTTGTCAAAATAAAATATGTGTCTCACACACAATAGGATCCTAAGTAACAGTTGTTCATCGTCCGATATTTGATTAAAAAGTTTATATGTTTTCTCTTTGACTATGATTTTTCCTCTTCAGACTATTTCATCTCGTTGAATGTCAAGTTTTGTGAGTAAATATCTTTAGTATTAGGTTTTATCCTGTTAACTGCATTTCAAGATGCGAATACTGTTTGTAGTTAATGATTAAGGAGTCCAGTAAACATACAAAGAAAGAGAGATGTATCTCAAAATATTATTCATTCGTCTCAACAGCAGAGATCTAACCTATCCGTGTATTTTGTTATTCTCAGCGGAGCCAGTTTGCACTAAAATTTAAGCGAACAATGGCAGAGTAGCACTCATTATAATGACATGATTTCATCGGATACAATTGTGCAGTAAACTACAGTTTATATTGAATTTTGTCGTTTCTTATGTGTTAACAGAATGTTACATTCTCATGACTGATGTTTGAAGATCTTAATAAATTTGCAGATTGTATACATTTAGTACTTTATTTTTACGTATAAGATAGCATTTTTTATTTCCAACAAAAACAGACTTACTCAGCTAATTTCGATACTGTCGTAATTATCCATACATGATTATCAAATGTATACCGTTCTCTTTTCATATGTGACAGTGTTTGTGAATTTTTTATTTTAGCTTTGTATAAATTGCAGTCAACAACGTTTAGTATATGCGCTAAAACTACTTCGTTTCAAACCATGAATCAATTTTGTTATCCTTTAAAAACGGTGAAGTGGACTGCCACTCAATTTTTTGCACACACATATTCAACTATAATGCTATATGCGTCATAGTCGAAGTAGTACGATATCAAGTTAATTAAGGAAAGACTCACAATTCTAATGAAACTGGAGGACAACGTATGATCCGAATATGCTGTAAGTTTGCTAAACAATTTTTACAAGTCAAAAAAATACGTCCATCAAAAGTGGATTCTATTTGTTAAACTATAAAAAATTTCTAATTTCTGAGAAGAAATAGTTTTTATTAAGGAAATTTCATCAGAAAATGTGAGGAACGTTCTGAAAGAAGTTTTGCTAATAAAACGAACTATAGCATTATTTTACTGATCCATGAAATTTTTATAAAATCAGTTAATATCAGAGCATTCTGTTCTTCTTTCTCTCACACAATAGAGTTAATACATGTGCAAATGCATAATCATGTCGTTCATTCAACAGTAAAAAGCGTTTCCCACAGAGATCGAATGCTCTTAAAAAATGTTTTTACCATCCAGGTATCTATTGATTAAACTTTTAAGTTTTAGTTTTCATAAATGTATGGTCATAGGTACATTATATATCTCTATTCTACATTTTAATATCGAGTTATTTGCCTGAAATTTTAGCTCAAAGTGTTTACTTTCAAAATCTATGTCGCTTTCTGCTTCATACATAAATTCTCATGATTTCAGCGAAAGTATTTTTTGGAAATCTCCAAAAATAACATTAGAATTATAGGTTTTTCCACGATACTTATGCAATTAAACTATTTGTCAAATACGCAGATTTGTAGAGCAAGTTTTTCTGGTCAAAATGAGACATGACACAATCCTATGTGACCTTTTGTTAAGAAGTTACAAGTATTTTTCTCGAAACTCTAAAATGTAGTGATACATGCACGCCGATTTTCTCGAAATCGTTTTTGTTGAGTTTTATCTGTTAATGCGGCAAAGATTTCTCCGGGATTTTACGTGCTACAAAACTCGGTGAGGTCTCAAAATGTAGTCAAGACTTGGCGCTACAGTTTTACTGAACCGGATTTTTGATTTTTAAACTAATTTTTGAGAAAAATGAAGTTTTGCAGAAAGTTAGCCAAAAGTTTTTCGAATTTTCTTCATAAAGTTCTTGACAAACTAAAATGATCGTGAAAAATGGATCATATGAAAGCTGTTGTTTTCAAACGTTGGGGGTTCAAAACAAAGAAACTATTCAGTCTCATCGAATGTATAAATGGCTTGTTGATTTTTACTTCTTTTTTATTATTTTTATTACGTTTAGAAGTCGAAAACTATGGAAATTGTCACAGGAAAAGTGAAAATGACTTTCCAAAAGCCTGAATTTTTGAAAAAACTAGAGTCTAATTTAATAATCTCTTTCCAACATTTAACGTGGTTTTTTTCTTTTGTTTTTCAGACAGTAGGGAAGGAAACGCTTTGCTTTACATAGCAATGTAGTTTATCAAAAAAACTCGACTCGATTTTGTAAAACTGTAAAGCCTTCTTAAAAGTCATGTGTTTCCAGACAACAAAGTTCTAGAAAACATGTAATAACTTGACTAAAAAGAATACATACTTTGTATTCTAAAAGTAGATACCAGAGACTGAAACGGGTCGGATTGAGTCCGGTATAGTCGGGTTCGGGCCGACGTAAAAGATATTGGTTCGGATCGGATCGTGTTTGATTGACCCGTTTCGGTCTAACTCAAATCAATATAAAATAAACTGCCTGAATTACCCAAACTTTTCCACTCATAAAACGAAAAAATGACAGAAACCGTAAGGAATCTGACCATTTTTTTGAAAACATTTCAAAACAATCTGACTAAACTTTTCTATAGGCAAGAAGTGTTTCTTCGCGAATGTGTATGAAAACATTTTCATGTTTCGGGTCTAGTTCGAATCACAATTGCAAAATTTTCGGGTCCGTTCGGGTCGAGTCAGGTTCGGACCAACGTATAAGATATTGATTTGAATTGGGTCGGGTTCGGATCAACTTACGTTCGGGTCGAGTCAGGTTCGGATCACGTTTAGTTGATCCGTTTCGGTCTCTGCTAGATACATATATCATCTTAAATATATCTTTAGCCTCATCAACTACTTTTGGTTGATTTCCACGATGTCTCCTCTCTAGGTAGATTTGGTTGTCATTTTATACAAATAATAAAGTATCAAAAGTAAAAAAAATATAAAGATCTTTTCTAAAACATACTACGTTTTACTAAAGTTTCTGTACAAGAGACAAGACTATACTAATCATAGTTCTCTCAAAATACTAGTGTTTTACGGAAGTCGAAGACGTCATTTTACTCAATTTCTACCTTTTTTATCGAACTTTTCCATCTATTCAACGTTAGACAATATCAAATTCTATGAACTCTGAGAATTTAAAGTGAGTCTGAGACAAAATTCGATTTTCTTGATAGACATTGACGAGAATTTGGTGAAAGACGTACGAGTCCGTATAGATCGCGTCGCTTGTTCAGATACGTGTAAAATCCTGATATGTTTTAGACGAATATATCCAGAAAATCAATACAAAAGACACACAAGCAGCTCAGTTGCATTTATATCATAGAAGTAGTCGTTATATAACAAGGTGATTATTATTCGTTTCTCTGCAAAAAATTATTATAAATTAGTAGAAAAACTACTTCTCGTTTAACTACTTTTGTGAGTTATAGTGTCGAGAAAATCTTTTTTCAATCGGTTCAACTTTGTTGTGAATTGATGGTGCGGATAGTAATGTGGCAAATGAACCAGTTATAGTCAAAACAATAAATAACATGAGAAAAAAACGATCAATAACCAATGCAATAAAACGCCAACCTTCACGTTCCTAAAACACAAAGAATGTTGTTGAGATGAGTGATAGATATACAACGATGTAAAAACTACTATCCATTTCAAAATATAGTGTGAGTGATTACGATATGAATAACTCGAGAACGGAATGTCAAGATCGAGTTTTCGCCATCGTGTAGCCAAAAGGGGACACGTAATAATATGCAGAAACCAAAATTTGTGCGAGGATCTCTGGAAAACCAGTCTATAGCTCCAAAGTTTTACATAGAAATCGATCAGTTTTTTTTGTATATATAGTCAAGGGTGTCTACAAAGTCAGATCCAAGTAGGCATGCACCAGTTATATTACTGGTGTTAGGGCATCCTGGTAAATTGTTATAACGCGATTATTAAGGATCGCTCAGACTTGCCGAACATCTCATTTTGTAGACAAATGCTTGTTCTATGTATTTGTTGAAACAAAAAAAAGGTAAAATTAATGAGCAATTCTTAAATGCCGTAACTGTACGTGATAACTGGGCACCAGTTACATAACTGTTCAGCCTCTTTGGTAATTCATTAATAATGCTTCTCTCTTCCAACCTTTAATTTTATCTTTCATACAAATGTATAGAACAAACATTTGTCTACAAAATGAGAAGTTCTGCAAGTCTGAGCAATTATTAATAACCGCGTTATAACAATTTTTCTTGATATCCCAAAAAACAGTCAGAAATAACTGGTGCATACCTAGATCCAAGCGACATCTCGAAAATCCATGGTTCGAAAGCTACGGGCACTTTTCCTGAAGCCTTAAGATTTCTCTGTCGTTAGGTTTGAGACTGTCAGAAATGAATGAAAACATGGATTACCGACTATGCTGAATCTTATTTTTTACTACTCTCAAGTAAAAAGTCGTTTGGGGCAGGTAAAATAGAGTACATCTTGATATTCTGAAATAGTGTGGATTGATCTTGACTGAGCTATGAATTTTTGAATTTTACTCGAAAATAGGCAAAAATGGGATATATTCACCTGATGTACGTTTCCACTAGACTTTTGTAACTGTGTTAAAAAACAAATGTTGCCACAAGATTCAGCATAATCGGTAACCTATGTTTTCATTCATTTCTGACAGTCCCAAACCTAACGACAGAGAAATCTTAAGGCTTCAGGAAAAGTGCCCGTAGCTTTCGAACCCCCATGGATTTTCGAGATGTCGCTTGGATCTGATTTTGTAGAGGACATCCTTGACTATCCATATATACAAAAAAAACTGATCGATTTCTATGTAAAACTTTGAAGCTATAGACTGGTTTTCCTGAGGTCCTCGCACAAATTTTGGTTTCTGCATATTATTACGTGTCCCCTTTTGGCTACACGATGGCGAAAACTCGATCTTGACATTCCGTTCTCGAGTTATTCATATCGTAATCACTCACAATATATTTTGAGATGGATAGTAGTAGTATTTAGACATCTTTATGAGAAAACACTTAGGTTTTATGTATAACACATCGTAGAATATCAATGATTTTATCTGTATTCGACTTTCGTAAAAGTTCAGTAAGAGTTGGAGTTTCACTCTTCGAGACGAAGTACTAAAATTCGGCTGATAGACAATTTATATTCTCACAAAATATGGGTCATTTTTAAAGTAAAGTCTCTATCACTAATTTCTAAATTTCTCGACTGCTGGAGCTTCTATCGCAAAGCACCGAAATTTGATTCATCCGAAATCGGATTTTGTGATGAAAACTTTTGCTTTTTTTACATTAGAAAAAACCCTACAAAAAACCCTTATGATTTAGAATAGAAAACTATATTATATCTTTATAAGATATATATACTTGTGTTAAAAATTTCAGCTTAATTCAACTAATGGTACTATAGACCTGCCGATGGGTCATATCTCTTTTTACGAGACATTTAATGAATTATTGGCGATGCTTTAAAAAAGAGGAAAAATGTGTTATTTCGTTCAGTACTTTTAGATATTGTTGTACTTTACAGCACCATTAAACTTTAAAAACATTATTTCTAAAACTATTAGAATTCTAGCGTGTAAGTCTTCTTTTTCTTTTTCTATATGCCATATATCCATATCCAAGTGTAACATTAATGTCGTATATGTGAGATAAAGATAAAGACAAACACGCTAGAATTCTATTGCTTCATAGTTGAAGGATTAGATACGATCGGATAACAATTGTATTGTTGCTGACTTACGAGATCATCTTTTTCTGCTTCGCGTTTCGTTTCACTAATATATTTAATATCTCGAATTGCCTCTTGTATTACCGACGGATATTTATCTTGTTCATGTAGATCTTCAAAATACGATAAAAGATCGCCACTTCGGTTATCATCGTCATTATTCAACGAATCTGTTTGCTGCTGTTTTCCTAGTAGTGCATCACTTATATTTGGTCGACTCATAAAAACATATGGTGGCATTATTTCAAAAAATAATTTTTTAACCCAATCTGGCATATGATGGGTATTTGGATGACGCCAATGAATATTTAGCGTTATAATCGTAATAAATATTGATAAATTAACAAGAATTAACGTAAATAACAAATATTTTCCTAATAGAGGAATTTTGAGTGAAGTTGGTGGTATAAGATCAACAAGTAACAAATAAAACACTTGTAACGCGACAAAAATGGAAATAGATAATGTTAATTTTTCACCACAATCCGATGGTAGACAAAAAACGAGTATGGTAAGAAATGCTATGTTAACACACGGTATAACAAGATTAACTAGATAAAATAATGGTTTACGGCGAATAACAAGTGAAAATGTAACGTCAAAATAGGGATCATCTTTACAACATGGATAAAAAAGAACGTGACGAACAGCCGGTGCATACAATATATCCCATTCAATTGATGGATAATAATCGGTTAGATCAACGCCAACGGTAACAGCAATATCACCCGATTTATGTTGCAAATCAACCTACAAATGAATACCGTTCATCATTTATTGCTAATATATCTTAATGGTCTACAGAATATATACCAATTTTCCATTATGTGACCATGTTCCAAATTTGAGACTACAATTTTGTTCATCAAACGGATAATATTGAATATTAATTGAACAATAACTTTTATAGATAACAGGCGGATTCCATTTAATTGTACCATTCCAATACACATGTGCTTTTGTCACTGTATTTACTTCGTATGTACCATCAGCATTCTAGATATAAAGAAAAATGTAAATGGTACGTAGAATTGTACACATATAAACTTACATTATATAAAACGATATCGGGTATCCAAATATTACTGCTGGGAACTTCAATTACTTTTATATCACCATAATGACTTGGTTGCCACACTAATTTACAATCAGACCATTCCTAGATGAAGAAAATTAAGTTTCAACAGTATTTATTTAAGACACTAATAACTATTCTCTATAGTAGCATTTGTTCCTAATAAATCCTCAATTATGAAATTTTCCAGAAAAAATAAGTAAGAGCGGACTATGTTCAACATAGCCTTACAGACATACAATCGCTTACATGTTCTAACCAAACATTTGTTGTCATTATTTGATTTCTTTCATCAATATCGGACAATTGTGATAATTTTAAACCTAATGTTACATTAACTGTTTGATTTATACTTTGTACAGGTAATACAAGTTTATTGTAGCCACGCATTAAATCATGCAATAAACGTTTTGCATCAGCATTACCGTATACAACTAAAAATCATTTACATAATTATAATATAATTAGTTCTGTAGTGATATACAACATAATTCATACCTTTTATTGTTAAAAATGTTAAACCATAAAATATCCACATTAATTTAAATTTTGGCATTTATATTTCACATTATGACTAAAAATAAAAATATAATTTATTGATTAGTTTTCCTGTTATATATCTGTCAAAATCGTTTTCTATTTCTCTATCGTTCTGTTTATAAAAATACAATGATATTGTTGTCATACATAGGCACTATATTCTCGCCGATGTAAGCTAGCTATTTCAACATCATGATCATGAGAAGAAGAACACAAAGAAAAGAATATATCTATTTTATTAAGTGAACACACAACGCCTTTTTGAGAGAACAACAGCTGCACTTTTAGAGAATACATACTCTACTCTATGTGTGTGAATGTTTGAAGTAATGAATAACAATAATATCTGTTCGAAGAAAACAGTAATATGATCCCAAATGTTTGTAAAAGCTTTCCATGGAGTATGCATTATACTATTATTATCTAATTGGAAATAAAAAAATTTCAAAAAAGGGCATAAAGAATTCTGGAAGATATTTCACTATATAAATTGAGTTATTAATTTACTTACCATAGTTGTATAATCAATCACAAATTAACAAAAAAGGTTTGTTTGAATTTTTAATGTAAAGTCAAGTATTTTTCACTCTATTTTTCTATTTGATTTTTTCTGTTTGTTCATTTTGTCTATATATTGACACTATTTATATAATAAAGAGAAATATGGAATTAATCGGAACTATCAAAGGGTTTTGTATATGTTTTTCCGAAACAAAAAAATAGGAATTTCTTCTTCTTTGTATTAGGTCATACTACTACAACAAATAAAATTGACACCAGAGAGTGAGAGAGAGAGAGGGAGAGAGAGAAAGAAAAAAGGGGAAAAAACTCATTGAGATTTATCTAAACAATGGCAAAAAAATACATTATTCATTGGCTGTTCTTTTCTTCTTTTTTTTTTTTTCTTTTTTTCTTAAAAGGCATATATAATCGTATACAGAAGAAACTGTATCTATTTATTATGCTGTAATTTTACAGAAGGTCAACTGAGTTAAACGATTCCTTTTTAAGATAAATATACTACTCCTAAAGCTAGATGACAAATACCACTTTTATCAAATGAATTTAACTTGAATATGTCCAGAATGACCGAGACAACTTTTTATCATAAAAATCATCAATGATAGCCTTTTTCTGATGTTTAAGTTACACGTTTAAATAAACAAGTTTTTATGACATTTATCGGTAGAAGTTTTTGAATACTTTAGTTTTATATTAATATATAACTATGTAGTAAGCTATGCAGGAATGTAAGTAGTACGCTTTTTTATTGTTAATATAATAAATACTCCAATACTCATTTATTCTAGGAACATTTGATGAGCACACTTAGTACTATCATCATTTATATTTTATTTGTATAAATTCATTATAATAACAAGAAACTGATTTGAAAAAAAAGATCAAAAAGTATATAAATATAAAAAAATATCAAACAAAATTCTAAAAAAGATGTGTGAATCGTAGAAAAAATCAACAGGATTTTAGTTTCAGTTCTAAAATCGATAAGGGTTTATTAACCGACATGAAAAAAACAAAAACGCTTGGTGAAATCTCGTTATTGGTTTTCAGCATATTTTAATCAAACTCCTTTTCGGCATGCAATTTCGTCGAAATAAATGAGGCTGTTCTTTAGTAAATTAATAAATAGTATTCTTTAGCAAAATAATTAAACCCGTAGAGCTCTAGTGCTGATTCCGATATCGTCTCTTTATCGTTTGAAATAAACTTATTGCTGGAACATGATAATCATCGAAAATAACTAGTCATGTTTGCTAAGAATTCTACCAAGTAAACTCTAGATAAACTCCATACTAATGAAATTAAAGAATTTTTGCTTTTTCCCAAATAATAAATCTTCTCTATCATTTTTAATGCGAATGCACGAAATTGCTTCTGGGTTCAAAGCGCCAGTGCGGACACATAATCAAAAACATATCACTTTTATCTCAAACACTAAGAAACGCTGATAGTAAATAGTTTTCTACAAGATAAACCTATCAGCTGGCTTCGTAACGGGTCTTTCAGAAAACAGAGGAACGGCAAAAATCTTTTAAGACGAGCGTAGGGTAAAAAAGAGGAATAGAGAAGTCATCTTTTTGGCCAAAAAACGGTACTAACAATGTTGTGTATGTTACAGGGAATATGCACATTCCCTGGGAAATCTATACATTCCCTGATAGCGTTCAGAGAATTTTAGTATATGACATAGACATTTCTCTTGGAATAAAGTAATAATAAAGCAACTTAATACTCTGTTGGTGTTTAAAACTATTAAAGAAGTTCATGGTATTAGAATAGAAGTTCACTAGTTTTTTAAGCTCTCTTGAAAAACAAACATTGCCATAAGATTCAGCGTGCTCAATAACCTATGTTCCATGTGTTGTGAAAGTTCCCAAACACGAAGTTTAGCCGATAGGGTAGGTCCTGGGAGAATATCCATATGGGAGTAAGAATTTGGAACTTGTGTAGTTTTAAAGAAGACAGTCTAGAGGTTCGAATAAACCTGCCAGATTTCAAAATACATTATTTCTCTTGAAATGGGAAGCTTTCAGATTTTGTTCGACGAGGTACACCATGGTAGACCTAATCGGAAGGCCTAATTTCTCCATAGATTTCTTTTCCAGTAGCTCCTCCATCAAATACTAGAAACCGCCAAAACTTTCAAATCCGCCAAAAACATTGAATTTTTGGCAAACTGAGATGGATTCTGAAAGATGACACTTTGGGATACTGAACCGTATGGTTACTTCAGTTTCGAAGAAAACGTCGAATTCCTCAGGGGGGGCTTAAGACTCTCAAAGAAATGATTTCATCCCACTTAAAGTGTTTTAAACTACGTAAAAAAATAAAAAAATGAGAAAAACACAGCAAAAAGGAGTTATTCTAGTTTAAAAGGTAAATGTAGATGAACTTTGTGATAAAATTGCGGCTGTATGAGACGAAGATATTGGAGAAACAAATGTGGTATTTTCTTTCAACTCTTTCATTTTTTCACGATGTTTATCTTTCTTCATATGCTGTATGATTAAGCCATCCTCTGTCCCCACAATCTAATTTCCCCGTTTTAAACATTGTACGTACGAATGTTGGTTTCTTAGCATCTTGCTTTAACCATCGTCTCACAGGGACTTCTACTGTTTTTACAACCACGAGTGATTGAATTTTTTGTTTCATTTGACGGCATTGATAAAAAAATATATCTGAAACTACTTTCATATTTAAAAATAGCCTGAATTCTGGTATTTTTGCTAAAATATCCTAGAAAAAGAGGAAACTTCGCTCAAAAAGAGGAGACAGAGAAGGAGTCTTGGATTAAAGAGAAAAGAAAAGAAGCATTACGAATCCAGACTGTCAGGGAAGTAGAGACCATATTGGGATAATTAACTTTCACCTACGATTTTAGTTTTTCTCCTGGTAAATAGTAAGTCTTTTTACGTTTATTCAATTCAACATATAACAGGCACTTTTTCGCTTCGCTTTTATTTTTAACGTAGCGGCATAATATCCAGAACTTTTGCAAAATACAAATTCATTCATACTTATCGAAGAAATGATGGTTTGCCTGTTATCAGGTTCTATTAAACAGTATAATGCGAATGAATCCATCGCAACTAATTTTATTGTTTATTTCGAAGATTTTCATCCAATGCTGTTGTTTCTCACTGAAGCCAGTATAAACTAAATCAGAGGCGACGGGACCATGGGAGGCCGTAGGTGCCTTGGCACTCACAAACTCTAAAAATTTTCGTTTTCTTCTAGCAGAAACTTATCTTTTCTTTGCATTTTTGTTCTTGAGCACCCATAGTTTCAGAATCATTCCGCCACTCCTGAACTAAGTACAGATGATTTTATGAAACTCAAAATAGTCATGCGACATTTTGTCACATGTATGAGAATAATCCGAATGTAAAAAAGTAGTTAAAGACGATTGTCGACGCATGCGACAACAGATGTTGTTATGGCTGCTGTACGAAGAGGAGAATTAAATTGTTGTACATTAATGGTAAAAGAACCTACTATTATAATCCAAAGATGAAACCGATCGAAACAAATCAAACAGAATAGGATTGATGGGTAACTAATCGATTGAAAGATTCAAATAATCACTAAAAGGTCGGTAAAAATCGCTGGATTTAAGTGGAATAATCAACCGGTAAAAAGTGTATTTCGAAATGAATTTTGCGTAAAAATGAAGTATTATTTTTTTTTTTGCAACGATGTTGAATGGGAAAAAAAAGCTTATTTTCTTACAAAAAAATAATAATATAAATTTATGAAATGTAATTATAAGCTATGCTTTGAAATTCAAAAATTTAGTTTTTTCTTAATATTCTTTATCTTTTAATTACTATTTGACTAAAAATTGTCAAGAAATTGAAAAGTTTTAGAAACCGACCGATCTCAGCAGCAGCAAATCGGTACCAGTGTGTCAATCTGGTTATGTAATATGAAAGAATAATTACCAATTATATACACACTTTTAATATCTGATCATAATTTGAACATGTCTTCTATTAAAAATTCTAATCTCTTCTTGGATTCAATTTCAGATTCGAACGTACCTTACGCCACAAGTCATATTTTGGTATTATGAGAGTTATGTTGATATTTTTTTCTAGTAACACAAGACCTTTTAGACTAGAAAATAATAAAAAGAATTAACTTAAAGTTTATTTACAGTAATATTGAAACAAAAGGACATTGATCCATAAAGTTTAAAATACCCACCTATTAGAATGAGGTAAGGTTTTTCACATAAAATACTAAATCTTTTCAGTAGACAAATGAGTAGTATTCATCTTCTATAGAAAAGATGTTTATATCATTATATTTTTGTACTTTGCAGATATCTTAGTTCATGTGCCAAATCTCGCTATGCAATTATACAAAACGTATTATTAATACATCGAAGACGGCACACACACAGACAGAAAATATGTATATCAGATATCTATACACTTATATATAAATAACAAAACCAGTTACAAATACTAATGTCAATAAATAGTCTAATAAAACAATAAAAAAGGTGAACGAAGAAGAAACGAGTCTATTGGAATAACGAGTTAAATTGCAAAGGAGACTATTTGATGCTGAAGGAATTATATTAGACGGGAATACTCGATCAATACAACAGCCATTAAATAAGCTAAAATGATTGATATCACAGTCGCTCATTCCAGTATAGAAACAAATCAGAAAACAAATAGAAAACGTCTCAATCAAAGTAATACTAATTACTGCAAAAAGGACTCAAAAAAGGAAAGAATTCTTTCCCGTTGTTAAAGAATGTTGTCGATAAAAAAATTAAATATTTTTAATATTATTTATAGAAGAGTCTCTAGGTATACTGGAAACGGATTTTTAGTAATAAATTTAATCCTTTTTTTTTGTTGCCTTTAGTATAAAACTTTTTAAAAATTGTAGATTTTTTACTAAAAAGTAAGATAGTTTTCCGATTCACAATATGTCAAATAAAATCTCGTCCATTTCCATATAGCGAAATAGTATTTATAACGGAATTATTTTCTCTGAATATTCTAAAAAACGAAAAAGACTTTGTTTTGACGATATAGTTATTAAGTAGAATTTGTATTGACTCCAATATTTTTCATTAAGTTTTAATGAGTCCATTCGCACACAAACTTTTATTACCAAAAGCCTCAAATACAAAATTTTTCAAAGATTCTATATAGTTTATTCGTAAAAAAGAAAAAGAAGAAAAATCGAAAAAACGAAACTATTTAATAATAAGTTTGATCTTAACATGAGTTAAGGACAATAATAAAAGAAGAATTGTTGAGAAATGTCTATATATGCAAATATTTTCATTCAGCAACAAGGTAAAATAGGCTTTACAAAAAAAAAAAGAAAGAAAAGAAAATGAGAGCACAAAACTAGCATCAGATACAGAGAACGATATATACTAGAGAAGCAATAAGAAAAAACAACGCGCACAATTTCTAAGTGAATTTTTTGATCAAAACAAAAAATATGTGTAAAAGTAGTAGAAACAATTTCTGATAATTATTCATTTTCAGAACATACAACTAAGTTGAACTATGAAAATAAATAAAAAACATATATTGTTTTTAGATTTTTTGAGAAATAGATGCAGAATATATGTAAGTAAATGCATCATTACAGATTTATTGTCTTAGTTAATTTAACACCTTTCTAAACACATTGCATTTTCTACTTACACTTTATTGATATTTGCGCGCAAACTCAATTACAGTAAAAGCTCAAAGAGCAAAATTATGCTGAAATGAGTGAGTGAATGAGTGAGTATATAGAACATTTCATAAAAAAAAAAAAAACAAGCAACAAAGTAAATCTATCATACAGAAGAATATAACGCTCAATTTTAAATGTAGAAGAATTAACAAAAAAGGAATCTATGCACATACAAAGGAAGAAAAGAGAAAGATATTTAAATTTTTTCTTTTGATGGTACCCAAACAAAGTCAATATTTTGTTGTTCTTCAATTATTTGACATATTTTTTCATAGGCATCGTTCAATGTATCTTCTTGAACAACAGCTAAAATAAAATGTACAATACAATATTTGTAGATTATTAATAAAGAATTTCCTAGTGGTAGCGCGCTCATTCACTAAAGCGTAATAAATTTTAATTTTTCTTTACATCCAAATAGATAATGATAATTAGAGTGTAGTCATCTTCAAATTTGATTATAGTTTCTAATTTATATTCATTAACAGTTTGTATCTCAGTAGAAAAAAGTATAGGAATAGTACGCGTGTAATGATAATAGCCATACTTTGTTTTCTTTACTGCAAATTTGAGCAAAAATTAGAAGAATAAAGAACTTATTAGAACAATAAAATAATGGCAAAGAAAAAAAAAACCTCCAACTGTTTAATGAAAAGAATCATAAAGTAGATTCACGAGATTGAATGCGAATCTATTGTTCAAAGTGATATTTTCAGCTATGTAACTTTAAATTATTTTCTTTCTAAACATTGTCAAGATTACAGTAGAATAAATAATAGAATTAATCTTAAATTCAGATTGATTATATTTGAACATGTAACAAATTTTGTTTTAATCAGAATAAATTTTGCAAAATTTACGGTGTTTTAATAGAAAAATTGTTTATGTTCATTTCGTATCGCTTGTTGATGATACGACAAAAAAATTATCAAGAAAGTAGACGAATTTCAACAAAGAGTTTTAAAAGAGTTAATTAACAAAGAGTTAATTAACTATAAGCTCATTGACTTTCATAAACTTGAAAAAACAAGGAACAATATCTATTCACTAGAAAAATTCTGCCACCACCATTGATATTATATACGTTGTATATCAGAGTGAATATTTCCTCTCAATTACAGTACTTACCAGTAAACAAATCCAAAAACATTTGTTCAGTTTTAACTGTTTTCTCGTATAATTTTTGTGCGCTCTCTTCATTAGCATCTGCACCCGCATTATCGCTAAAATTAACGAAAGATTTAGATCACTTAAGACTATTATTAAATTTCTTACTAGATCCATTTCACATCTGGTGGTTTAACAAAAATAGCTATTGGATATAAACCGGCTACCGTTAAACGTTTGATTGCGTGACCACTCACATCTAATACACAATGTTTACCCTACACAAACAAGTAAAATAATAATACAAACAGTATGTCACATGAGGAATTAACTCACCGATTCTGAAACTGCTTTGACAGCTTGCACGGATGTTCCATATAAATTTCCTTTATATTCTCCCGCTTCGATAAATAAATGATTTTGAATATCTTCTTCCATTTGTTCACGAGACGGTACAAAATGATAATCTCGGCCATTTATTTCTTTATCGCGACGAGGACGAGTGGTATCTAAATAATAATTAAATAAATTTATTTTTCTATTTTTGATAATATATGAGCAAAAACTTACGTGGTACACAATTGACAAATTTATCTGGTTTATCGTTCATTAATTGATCATTTATTATTTCTTTAAATGGTCCAAAAATGATAACGGGTTGAGTATGATTCACTATAAAAATAATAAACAAGATTTGAATGATTAGGATTTTATCAATATAATTCTTACATTCATGCTGCGTAACAAGTTCATAAGATGCTACTGGTTCCAAATTATCTGGTTCATTATCTGTATCATCACCACTTTGAGTTTCTTTTCGATTATCACCACCTTTGCCAAATAAACCAAATTTTTTCTTCTTCTTTGCCTTATCACGATCAAGAGTATTACTCTGCAAAAGAAAGACATTCTCCTTCATCAATGAACATTCTCAGTTTTCTATTAAAGTATCACATACTCGACTTCCTGATTGATTAAAATTCACTCGTTTTTGCCTTGAACGTTCTTTTTTTTCAACTCTGAATAATAATTATATACTCTACATTAACTTTAATACAAAAATCATTAAGTTACCGTTTTTTTGAAGGTATTATTCCTAAATCTTCTTCACTTCCGTCATATTGTACTCGTCTTGCTTTCCACCATTGATCATCAGCTGCATTTGTTACATGTAATATATCACCCGCACGAAATGAAAGACCACGATTTGAATCCGGTAAACCAGAATCTTTACCTGGATCATAGTCAAATTCAGCTCTGTAACAAAAAAACGTCATTAACGTTACATTATATTAATTAGATCTTGCTAGAAATAGTGTATACGTTACTTACCGTACAAAAAACTGTCGTTTTGTTGATGTTTTCAAACTACCCGTGCTTCCTGCTCCACCCATCATCGTATCTCTTAATTCATGAATTCGACTTTCAAATCGAACATAATCTGCATGAAATATACAACAATTAATCAAAGTAAAACAAAGTTACTTTTCTGTCTTACCATCAGGTCTATAAGAGACAATCATATCGGCTGTATCACCACAATTTTTTAATACATTAGCTGCATCTTCATGTGATGCTCCTCTCAGATCATTCTGATTCACAGACATAATACGATCGCCTTTTTGTAGATTGCCACTTTTATCAGCTGGACCACCAGCTTGAATAAATGAGATGAATATACCTAAAACAGAATGGACTCAGTTTCTTGATAATAAGATTTATCATTAATTTTTACCTTCATCTGTATCACCCCCAACGATATTAAAACCAAATCCATATGATCCTCGACGCAATACAACTCGACGTTCACTAAAAGAATATTAAGACTAGAATCCGTTCTCTTGAACAGTTGGTTGCTGTAGTTCATACATTCCATAATTGTCTCTGTCTTTATCTCCGTTCATTTGTTCTTCATGATGTACTTGGCCGTTGATTGGTGTTGAATAGCCATTTGTATTCGGGACAGTCGACGGATGTCCAACAGTTAATTTGATTTCATCACTTTCGTCACATGCACGACGAATCGATTCAACAGCATGTTTATGTTCAACAAATTGTAAATCATAATTATGTTTCTGAAACATAATAAGAGCAAGATAATAGCATTTTTTTAATAAAAAATAAAGTGAATATCTTGAAAATAAGTTTTATGAACGCTCACTATTGAGAAAAATATGTATTAAACGCCATATAATATTCTTAACATAGATAAAACAATAAAATTTTACTTATTTCTGTCGAAGTACCAGAAGTCAAATACTCTATTAGTAGTTGAATATATAGAACTTTGTCATATATTATTTTAACATTCATATTTGTTAAAACTCGAAACATACACATTAGATTTATGATACTTAACAACTTCTTGCTATTCGTGAGGTAACGTGCATCTGTTAAAACCTCTATTTATCATGCTTTTTTATACATTGATTATTCGTCACATGAAAATATGTTTTATTAATATGTTATTTGAAGTAATTCAAATATGCTGAACATATTAGAGACTGAGAAAATGACATCATCATCATCAACAAGAACAAATACCTATCAACCACATCTTCAACTTAAACAAGAATAAAGAATGCAATAGAAGAAATAAGGATAATCATTGGCTTTTCAGAAATCGAGAAGTCAGATATTGATCAGAGCCTTTTTTTGTACGAGAAGGAATAAAACTTGCGTTTACTACACATAGTTTAAATGTTTTCATAATCGCTCGCATTTTCTTTATCTACCTGGTTGCCATTTCGACATTTCCGCATTTTCGTGCACACATTTAACGTGAGATATTCCCATCTTCGCCTCGCAGTTTCGGAGCCTCAGTCATTGTACTAATACACACCTTAGTTTCATAACCTGTATAATATATTGCTCGTATTGAGCCTTCTATAAACGCGATGAATGTTACAATCACAGTTAGTCGAGTCACTACTTTTTCTAGTCCACGCCGGTATCCGAATCGCTTTAAAAACTCTAGTTCTTCAATCTCGCTGAGTGATGCGACGTTTTTCTGAGAATATTCTCAAATCTTTCTCTCTGTATATAACAAATACAAGGAGCACAGTCATAACAATGCAGTTTCACCTTCTAATTCTGACTTGCTCATCTCTGGCTACAATAAGTCAATTTAATTGCTTTAGTTGGTCCAGCGCTTTGCCTCTATCCTTATGAATGCATACAGAATACGATTTGGGAAATAAAATCTCTCTCTCATTCTCTCTTACCGGTGTCGAAACATGAATGAGTCTATCTCCCACTTTCAATCTTCCATTTTGATCAGCAATACCGCCTTGAATTATATTTGTTATAAATATACCATGATCACTAAAAAACAAAGCAAGAAATAACAATGTATTGAATATTTCGCTAATAAACTTACCCTTTCACATGTTCATGACTAATTCCACCTGCTATTGAAAAACCTAACGTTGAATTTGGTGATTTCTGAAGTTCAATCTCTTCCATATAAGGTAGAACTAAACGTCGAATATACTGAAACACAAATATTCACAGTTCAAATCACTTAAAAAATACAAACTCTTTGTATCTCATTCCAAACCTACCAGTGTTACTTTATTGCCAGCATTTTTTAAGGCTTCAACAGCTGCTGCATGATTTATATTTGTGAAATCAATGTCATTTACACGTAATATAATATCATGAAGTCTAAAAAGAACAGACACGTATATCATATTTTTTTAAATAATTCAGATCTAATCCGTCGGTTAGCTACCTCAATCTATTGTCTTTAGCAGCAATTCCATTTTCTGTAATTCTAGTAACGACAACAGATGGTGAATCATTGATACACGGAGTGTCAGATCCGCCGGCAATAGAAAAACCAAGACCAACACCAGCTGACTAAAAAGACATAAATATGTCCGATACTTTGAGTTTTCTCTAATATAATTCCATTATAAATAAGACATACTCTTTCTAAATAAATTTCTTCATCTCTCCAATGATCTTCATAATTAAATTGTATTACATCAGAAGGATGTGTCTATATAAAGAAAAGTCGTTAAACCTAAGCAGGTCAAATTTTTAAAATTAATCTTACTCGTGTTTCATCTCCAAGTCCATCGATATGTGTTTGTGATGGCTGCTGTTGTTCTCTTAAAATTTTATTTCTTAGAGGTTCTCCGAGTGGAGCGGAACGTTGAGCTGGTGGAGGGTAACGAGTATTGATCGAATCTGATGGTAATAATGGTGGAGTACCAGTCTAAAGAAATGAAACAGACGAGAAAGTCAATTTTCGACACGATCCTATATCTCATTACTATGCAAAAACCTATTTGAACTGCTTAGTACTAGAAAGAGGAAAGAAAACTGCATACTCTATCATCTTTGTTCAACAATGGTCTTTTTTCCCATTCATCTGCCAGATGCATTGTTGCATTCATTTTACTATTTAAATCACGACGATCATCAAGTAAGATTGATTCATAAAATTCTTGAATATCTATCAGACAGAAATAAAAAGACATTTTGTAGATAAACAATAAACAAAAGTTGAAAATAACTAATCTCTAATAATGAGGTTGGGCAAAAAATTAGTATTAATGATTATTCTCAGAATAGTCAATATAAATTTAATAAAAGTGTAAACAAACCAATAAGCGCTTGAAACAGCCGACTTTTGAATACTTTAATGACTCTACAAAATAAAAAAAGATTAAAATTTCCTTTTTATTTCTGACAATTTATTACCGTACCTATCGATAGCAGTTTTTAGCGGTTTATCTTCTGGCTTATCAAGACGATTATAATAATCTTCAAGTAATTCAAGTGCACGATAAGCGTCTAAAAATAAATAAATTAATTGTTAGTGTTTTTTTGTTTTTTTAATTTCAGTTAAAATAATATTTTACCTTGTTTTCTTACAGGCATATTGATTACCATATATATGTCTTGATGATAATTCTAGAATTTTTTCTTCATCTAATGAATAAAATGAGTATTTTTAAATCAACCTTGTAGATGGTAATAGTATTACTATGTATTTTCTACTCAATCTTCCATGTTTTCGTGTAAGAAAAGAAGAGACAAAAAGTCATATATCATAATTATAAATGATTTAAACTTTTTTCAAGAGACTATACCACATCTTATACTGTTAAATGTCAAAATAAAGAAAAAATGATATGCCATACCCTTTCGGATACGAGAAAAAACACCAAAAAAATAATGCAAAATAAAAAGTTTTCAAAGATGAATTTAACACATTTATTTATTCAGAGATAAAGTTGTCTATAAAAATAGTCTGAACTGATCGAAACTCAATTTAAACGAGCACTCAGCAAACATTATCCGTTTCAAAACGAAGATTAAAAATTGAATTTGTCTCGAAAAAAACGTTTTTTTAGAACTGCATTTTTTCGATTGGAAAAAGTCCAAGGTTATCAATCCCCACAAAACTCTTTTGACTAATATGGTTTCAGTTTTCAAGCGGTTTCCCGTATTGTGAACAATTATAATACCTTCGAATTTGGCAGAATATAAGCATTAAACAAATAATCTTTCCTTCTAATTTTTCAGCAAGAACTTTTATAAACTTACTAAAAGGAGGAAGCCTATTAACACCACCGCCCTAAAGTGTTGACAAGTCGTCAACAAAGGAGAAAAGTAAGTCATATCCTACATAGAGACTAGAGCGTAAAGTATCAATCTCAAACATAATTTCTTTCGGAACACTATTTTTCTTAAGAACATTGTTCCATGACTTTTTCCAAACGTTAATTAATTTGTTTTGAATTCAGAAAAATAATTAATTTTATATTTAATCAAATTCAACCATTTCTAAGGTGTAAGCTGGGACCTCTAGTAAAACTACTAGCTCCGATCATAAAATTCTGATTCAAACAGAACTGATAATCTATGGCTATACAGGCAACTTAATTTAAAGGTTGGTGACAGAATATAAAAAAGGTATCGCTGATGCTGTTTGCCAGCGACATCTTTCGTGTAACTTCATTTTTAGAAAAGATAAAAAACTTCCAAAGACGTAAGACTATTTTTGTACAAAATTTTTTGTATCTATTTTATTTTTTGCGTTTTACCTTTTGATGTTGAAATATATGATAAATGAATTGCTTGATACTGATTCTTTGCTATTAATGAGGATATTTTTAAATCGATTTTATTCTAAAAACCGATATTCTGCTTTTGTTGAAAACTTTAAGACTAGTTTTTGATCGTTCGTTACCTTGTTTCCAGAGAAACGTTATTCACAGAAACAAAAAGACCTCTCACATCGTGGTGATCTCCCTGTTGCTGGGAAATATTGTTGGCCTCGATTTTCTCATGTTAACAAAGATTTTATTGCCATAATTTATCTATCTTTAATAATTAATTAGAGAGTGGGAGAAACTCGTTGACGGGGATGTTTGATTTTGGAATCTGTAGTCATTCCATAAATAGTCGCAATCTACAGGGCCGCAAATAACGGGAGGGTGCGCACCCTCCGAATAATTGAAAAAGCTGTTGTTATTTTATTGATTATTCCTAGCACAAAAACTTTTTTTATCAATTTCACACTATCTCAAAGAGAAATTTTGTTTTACATCCCCCTTATGTTCTGCTCCTATTTACTGTCCTAGCAATCTATACACTGAAACGGTTTGAAACTGAAGTACGACTCCAAGTGTGATGTGTTAGAAATGTATTATTAGAAATATCTAATAAAAATAACCGTTGTAATTAGTTAATGTATAAGTTTTTTGTAGTTTAATGTACGCTGTTAACTTAAGATAATAAATATTTTGAACATGACAATGCACTTAAATCTATTCATTCACTTACTTAAAGTGAACGAGAATCGCCCACGGTCATACCTTTTTCTCGATAATCATACATAGCGAACAGTTGCTATTAATATCAACTGTTCTAATACATAGTACGGTCAAAATGTTACGTATAAGAGAGATTCAGAATGCGTACATAGCGGTATATCTGAAAATTCGTAAAAAAACAAAAATGATCGGTTAGTTAACAAACTCGGAAAGGTATTTTCTTGAAAAAACTGCTTTTTACTAACTACGAAATGCTGCCGTAGATCCTCTCCCTATTCCCAACTGTTCACACTGACATTTTTACTATGACTATCTTGATCAGAGAATAGGAAATTCTAATTTTTTGTTTTCGAGAGTTCTTGGTTGGGATTGAAGTAGGTTTTGGAAAAGAACTCCAAAGATTTTGTCACTTTTTCTGAATTAAACTATAAAACACATGGCGTCAAAACCGCGTCAATTTTAGTGATCAGTCGCGATTTGCAAAAATATCGATGATAAATCGCGATTTCGATATATCACAATTAATGGGCGAGCTATTCATGAAAAAGAAAACAGCGATTTATCGTGGATAGTTTTGCGAATCGCCATTAATCGGAAAAAAACAGGCGACTAATGTTTTCTTCATTCATCTTTTTGTTTTTACAGCTGCAGTAAGTGCTACATAACAAAAATAAAAAAATTTCTTAGTCACTGGTCGAAGTGTGAATTTCGACTTGAATGGACAGTCTTCAGACTGTATCTGGCCCATATATATATATATATATGTACACAATAAAATGTATATATACGCAATAAATTGTTTTGTCTGTATACAGGCAAAACAATTTATTGCAGATTTAACGACATGGGAAAGATTACATTCGCGATCTACACGAAAAACTACGTCGAATAACACACTTAATAATTTATTTTCGAAGCATCGATCTATAGGTAACCTCAGGTAGTTCTAAAAAAAAAAACGTTTTTATGCGAAAAACTCAATTTTTTTTTATATATTTATGTAGTAGCATTAGCAATCTATAGCTTATATCGATTAGATGTGTACATTGAAATTCAATCAACTATTGGCTTGTTTCTTATGCGTACTCTTTGCCAATGTCCACATACCTAAAAAGAGCAGTATGTACAATATTAAAGTTGAGTGCTTCCACTTTTAGGTTTTTTCCCGCTAGTCGTCAAAGATAGCCGTCGGGAGCCACTTTCTACATGAAAAGACGTAGAAAGTGACTCCTGACGGCTATCTTTGACGGCTAGCGAGAAGCAACCTCACTTTTAAGTTAAAGATAGCTGACAAACACTTTACATTTTACTGACTGCTAACTCTGTCAAACAAAGTCATAACTTGAACGTCAAATTCTGTTCATAATGAAAGACTGACTGTTTTTCAGTATTCCTATTCGCGCTCTGCCAGCAAATCGCATTCACAAGTTGGAACAATCATACATACATCATCATCGCTTCTATTAACCTTTTTTTTTGCATTCTTATTTATTTTCTATGATGTCGCAGATATGTTAATTTATTTTTTCAAAAAAAGGAGAATGTTTTTATGAATAGGAAACAAATCGAATGCATGATTAGTCATGCGTTGGTAGGACAGCCTCTACCTCCACATTCTTATTATTAGTTTTCAGATTTATATGCTATAAACACCAGATTGTGGTTTATTTTGTCCTCCGGTGTAGTACACACAATGGGAAAATCAAAAAAAAAAAAAGAGAAGAAAGAACATAAGAAAAAGAAGCATAGACGTTCTTCTTCAGATTCGACCTCATCCACGACTGACTCTCAGGTAGGAGAAAATAGTTGTACGTCGTTTTCATCGACGATGAGCCCGAAAACGTATATGTGATAACCAACTTTTCTTTTCGACTGTTTTCAACATATAATGGGTCGGCCCGCTTTGTTCAATCAAATAAACTATGTTTAGATCAAAACGTATATGTGTGTTGTTAGTTATTTCGCTGACAAGTTTATGTTCTATTTACATTAGGATTGGCAAGAAGATCCAAAAAACAATAATGAAATTCCAAGTGGAGCAATTATTAAAGGACCCACAATGCCACCAGCAGATTATATATTTAATAATAATGCTACCATAGCCGAAAATGACAAGCAAGTATTAAACATTGTTCCAATAATAATGAAAGAAAGAAATGAATAAGAATTTAACGCTTTAACGTTATTGAGCACAATCTTTTACCGTATATAAAATACCTCGTTGTTCAATAGATGAAGAACAACCATTAGAATGGTTTCTAACAGTTTTGAAATCAATTTTTTTGTGTTAATTTAGGATACAGGAAATTCAACATCAGAAACTTCTGTTACATTTGCTTTAGAACCAATTAATTATGAATCATTTACATTTAATCGTAAAGATAAAAATGAGAAGAAAAAATCAACAGAAGCTGAATTAATGGTAATCGGATTATTATATGAAACTACAATTGGTGCAGTTTTCTTAAATTAAACTTTCTTATATATTATTTTTTTGATTTTTTAGGCAATATTAAATGAACGAGAATTAAATCCAACAATGAAACGATGTGCAGCTAGTGACATATCTCTATCAACAATAAAAACAGTTTCTCGTTCAAAAGTTGGTGATAGTGGTCTTCAATGGCATCATCGAGCATATGAACGATGTAAACAACAAGCAAAAGATGAACAACGACCATTAGATGAAATTGTTTCAGAAAGATATGGTGTATGTTAAAAAGTTTTTCAATATTTTACTAAAAATAGTTTACCTTGTTCAACTGTATTTTTCTCTTCTCTTTTTCGTTCTTTTTGACCTTTTGACACCCACCTACATTCATTTGAAGGTGATATCCACGCATACGTATACGTCATAAAGAACGACAAAAAAAAGAGAAAAAGACAAGTGAGAAATCCTAAAAATGTTACAATAAGCCTAGAAAGACCACACTCTCGTATGTCAATAATTCTATTAATTTATTCAAGGTGTAATAATAAATACATAAAATAAATAAATTATTTACAACACTACTCTACTTTACACTAATGGCTTCTTTTTAGTCGATGGATAAATTGTTATCGTTAATTAATGAGGCTGAAGATTTATCGGATGATCGCCATCATTCTCGACATAGATCTTCAAGGCAACATGATCATCGCTCATCGACATTTTTACGTCCAAAACAGCATGATGATTATCGAACATCATCATCATCATTGGCCGCATTATCAACAGGTGAAGATAAACAAGGTTCATGGAGAAAACGAAAAGCTGAAGAAGAGATTGATGATAGAAGTCAAAAACATGTTCATCACGAAAAAGAACCGGATATAAACCAAAAACAACAACCAAAAGTTGAAGATGAATTAATATCTGAAGAAAATTTAATTGAATTAAGAAAACAATTGATTAGAGCAGAATTAAGAGATGATGAGGTAAATCTCTAGTGACTAGATGTATACAATAGCTGAAATTAGCTTTCACAATATTGTTTCTTAAATCTTCTGCAAAATGAATAAAATGTTAGATTTCAAGACTGCTTCTGCATAGTATAGAATATTCAACTCTCTGTGTTCTATGTTTATTATAAAATCTATTCATAAAGTGTTTATTTAGGAAATGTCGGAACAACTTCGTATTGAAATTAAACGTATCGATGATTTACGATCTCATCCTCAAGCATCTGAACATAATCCTCTTGAACCACCTGAAACTCAAGGAAAAAAAGTTCTTGTATTGACCACAATCGATCGTTATGGTGTTGAAAAACCCGTGCACGATAGTCACACTACACATCGTCAACAATCGACGAAACACGATCGTCGTCGAATGAAAAAAGAAGTGAAAAAATTGCGAGAACAAGATAAAGATCCTGAGAGAGAGGGATTAACATTAACAGATCTTGTTGAACAAGAACGTTTTTCCACTAATAATTATTCACCAGTAATGCCTAGCAGTCGTACAACATCTCATCAATCACTGTCAAGTGATCGACATTTATTAAATAGTACAAGACATTTACAAGGTTGGGCACGTATACACGCATTAGCTGATCAGCGAAAACGTCAACAAACATTTGAACAATGTTGGTTGTGTATTGAAAATTTATCTAAAGAATATATATTTGGTTTACGAGAACATTGGTATCTATGTGCACCACCACATCAATCACTTATAGATGGTCACTGTTTTATAGCACCCATACAACATACATCAAGTCGATTTCATTTAGGTAAATGAAATGAAGAGCAGAATGATGAGATATGTTTAATCTAATGTTTTGTTTTTCTCTCTTGTTTTAGATGAAGATGTTTTAACTGAATTAGATGAATTAAAGTCAATGTTAACTGGTATTTTTCGTGACGTCTATTCTCAAGTACCTATATTTATTGAAACCTTCAAAAATCCTCGATTATTACCTCATATGTATATTGAGTGTATTCCGATACCTTATGATCAAGCAAATTTAGTTCCCATGTATTTTCGTAAAGCTTTGCTTGAATGTGAATCAATGTGGGCACAAAATAAAAAATTAATCGAAATTCAAGAGAAATCTTCACGAGCACTAAAACAAGTAGTACCTAAAGGATTACCATATTTTTGTGTTGAATTTCCACGTGATAAACATATTTATGGTTTTGCACATGTAATTGAAGATCGTGGACAATTTTCGTTATATTTTGGACGAGAAATCCTCGGTGGTTTGCTACATGTAGATAATCCACAATTATGGCGAAAACCAGGAAAAGAATCAGAAGAGAACATTAAGCTAAAATGTAATTATTTAAAACAATTGTGGAATAAGGTTAAAGAATAAAATAAGACTTATGTCAAAATTCTTCTCTTTTTTTTATTGATGTTCTAATGAGTGTAGATATTCAATTGAAACCTGTAATTATTGTCAGTTCTTCGTGTAATTGTGTTTTGCATATTTTTTCATACATCAATATTATTTTTTTATGTTCGGAAGTCTCTAATTTTTCCATGATTTATAAAATCATGCATGCCTTTCGATCAGAAATATTTTGTTATCAACATGATGTGATTATTTTACTTTAGATATAAATGTTTGATGCCTTCTTCCTTCTAAAATCTTTTAATGTTCTACCTTCACAACGACGATGCTCAATGTTTTATCTATCAATTTTTATATTTTTGTGCCTATTTACAAACTGGATAAGTTCAGATTACATTTATAATGATCAAAATGATGACGGTGAATTGATCGATATTGGCATACGATTAAAGGGGAATAATCAAGATTTTCTTGTTGCTGATTTGATTGCAGAGGAAAGGGATATGATTAACACCGGTTCGGTATGTGTTCATAGTCGATATAATTAATGTAATATTTCTTTCTAAAAACGATTATATTTTTATGTAGATTAAAGGTTTGGATCTTTATCATTTTCAAATTCAACGTAAACGTTCTTCACGTTCAAAACGTTCAATTGATGATTTAGTCAATGAATTGATGACAGATGATCGTGTATGTTATCCACAGATTCAAACTAAACGCTGCTCTAATTTGTATATTGTATATGTGAATAGGTTGAACATGTTTATCTTGGTAAAACACTTGAACGTCAAAAACGTGAATTTATTGATGAAGATGAATTAGAAGAAGAATATCGTCGACGAAACTATCGTAAATGGAATGATAATGAATATGTCAAACGTCTAGAAGATGAAGAAGAGACGCAGAAAAAAAATTTATTTGATTCATTGTCATTAGATCAATATCAATTTAAAATGAAATTTGATGATGAATTTTATCGAAAACAATGGTATTTGGTACGGTTGATCATTTAAAATAGGATTGTAAAAACACTAAATTTTTTTATTGCTGTATCTCTAGGAAAATGAAGGACAAATGGATACTCCGGCTAACCATGATATTAATGTCATACCAGCATGGCTTGCTGGTTATTCTGGTAAAAATGTGACCATTTGTATCGTCGATGATGGTCTTGATCATTCACATCCGGAATTGAAAGATCGATATGTAAGTTGAGATACATTTATCAGTAATTTTAAGGAAAAAACAAATCTCCTGTATATTTTCTGTAGTTAGCCCATTTAAGTTATGACTTGAACGATCTAAATGACTCTGATCATGATCCTGCGCCTAGGACAAATGATTCTGCAAATAAGTAAGAAATGATAAACAACATGTGATAATGCTGTGAGCAACTAACCCTAGATACTATAATTACTACTATTAATATTGCTTGACATTTTTCTGATGCACGGTGTGTGATATTTCTCTATTATTAACGAAAATTAGTTTCTACTATTAACATTTCCCTTTAGCATGCTTGTACTTTCTATTATACTACTTATGTAGATTATTTTAAATAGTTATCTGCCTCTTCTGCAAGTAGATCTTCAAAATCTTTTAGTCATGGCACAAGATGTGGTGGTGCAGCAGCTGGTGAAGCAAATAACCATTTGTGTGGAGTGGGAGTAGCGTACGGGTCATACATATCCGGTATGAACACCAAAATTATATTAATAAATGCCATGAATTTGATTAATATGACAAATATTTTATTTTAGCTATTCGTTTATTAGATGGCCGTATAACAACATTGTTAGAAGCACGTTCATTGACATTCAAAGCTGTTGAAATTTCAATTAAATCGGCGTCATGGGGTCCAACAGATGATGGAACAAAAATGGAAGCACCCGGAACATTGGTTAATGCTGCACTCGATTATGGAGTTCAACATGTTAGAAATTTCTTTTTAAATTATCATTGATCATAGGTTTTCTCTGATTTTATTAGGGTCGAAATGGGAAAGGTTTATTATTCGTATGGGCTTCCGGTAATGGCGGAGCAGCGGGAGATGATTGTTCAGCTGATGGTAAATGAGAATCATCGCCAAGGATCGAACAAACTATATTCACTTTTATACATGTATTTTAGGATATGTTTCTCATCAAAATGTCATCTCAATCGGTTCAATTAATCATTTGGGTAAAACAACTTATTTTGGAGAATTTTGTCCATCAACGATGGCTGTTGCATATACTGGTGGTCGTCATGCAAAAAGTGGTCAAGAAAAATATTTGCCAGGTATCTATCATATTATGGTGCTTATAGATAACAAAAAATCAGTTTCTGTATGATATATTAATATGAAAGCCTTTTTCGTTCATACGCTTGCTCTTTTACACATATGAAACTTTTCCTTACATTCATTATAATTATAGTTATAGTTGTTATTTACATTTTCAAAGACAGTTGGTATTTCATTGTGTATATGTCTTTGTTTCAGTTGGAGTCGTTGCTGCTGATGTTGGTGGTCAATGTACAACAAAATTTTTTGGTACATCGGGCGCAGCTCCGGTAGCAGCAGGTGCATTTGCCCTGGTATTAGAAGCTAATCCCGATTTAACTTATCGTGATGTTATGCATATCATAGCTGAAACAGCTCGTATCCCAAATTTAAGTGAAACCGATGACTGGTTTATTAATGGTGCTGGATTTCATATTAGTGATAAATTTGGATTTGGTGTATTGGACGTAGGACAAATGATTGCTAAAGCACAAAATTGGACAAATGTACAACCGCGATGCGAATGTTATCATGAATATACAGAATTGCCGATGTACGCATTTCTAGTTTGACTTTAAGTCACTTTGTATTTGCCTTATGAAACTTAAAAAAAAGAAGATTGTCCTACAAAATTTTGATTAATGTGTCTATTTATCTCTATTTTAGTCGTCTTCCTCCATCTGGTGTGATTAAAATTCATTTGGATGTTCTTGAATGTATTAATGTGACAGTACTAGAACATGTTGTGGCTAATATTTCATTTACCTTTAATCGTCGTGGAAATGTCAAAATAACTTTGATCTCTCCGAGTCAAACACCATCGGAAATGTTATCATTTCGACCAAATGATGCAACTAACAAGGGTAATTATACATTTTAGCGATCAAAAATTAAAACATATTTGAATTCGTTTCTCGATTTTAGGTATTAATTATTTTCCATTTTTAACTGCTCACAAATGGGGCGAATCACCAATAGGTCGTTGGGTATTACTTATTGAAACTCGTCGCTCGACTCATTGGACCGATGATCAAGATGTCGATGGTGGTGCTCTAACATATTTCGGTTTGAAAATGTATGGATCTACTACTCCAGATTCTAAACTTGATCGGTCCAAACGTAGCGGTACGGATGGATTTCGTCCATCTGACACTGAGATCGAATGGATTTATAAACGTGAATTATCTATTCGAGACAAACCAAATGTTCTTCAATCTCGACAATATCAACAAATTCGTTCACAAAATAAACGTACAGATGAAATCAAAAAAGATGAACAAGAAGGTAGATCAGTATTCTCATCATTTCAACGGATATTTCATTTTTAGAAGACTGTCCGGTGTTTTCTCTCTCTTTCTCTTTCTCTCTCTAACCAATGTAATCAAAAATATTATGTGAGTCTTGTCAAAAAAATTTTTATTTTTTTTTGTTTTGTAATTTCTTTTGACAAGAATCAAAAATCAGAGTATGTGTTTTTGTGACTACATGTAAGATATTTATATGTAAGATATTTATTTTTTATTAATTCAACTTTTTTTCTGGCAATTAATTTTATTCTGCAATAATCTTATCGCTTTGTTCTGTTTTTTGGATGTTATTTTATTTAAAGTGATATAAAGTTATAGAGACAGAAGTTTAGTCAATTCAGTGTTGTATGGCCTCAAAACTAGAACATTATTGACATTTAGCACTCAATCTGATACATAATTTTGATCTGCTGATAAAGATTTCTAACACTAAAAACTAATTATGTGTACAACATTCAAGAACTTATATAGGAAATAACGAACACTGGGAATGATATTGTGTTCCCTTTGTCGAGTGTCCGTCAATCATCAGAAGCATTCTACTTTCTATAATAGAAATTGGCGGTATTAGATCATGGGCCTGGTATAGCAGTATTTTGTTTTTGAATTTATCTGAAAAGAGATAAAAATAGGGTAGTTCTATTACCACTTCTTATAATTGATAGAAGTACTTTCTACTGGAAATGATCCGAAATGGGATCCACAATGTGTAAAAATGGAAGGAATGTGTAAAACGTAAATTATGGAAAGATTAAATAGCTAAATGAGATGTGTCTGCCTAATCGAGAGGTTTTGACTGATAAAAAATATTTTTCTTCATTGTTTATTTTCGACCTTTGATAAAGGAGATGAGAAATTAATTGATAAAAGTTACTCATTCTATTTATAAATAATAATAACAGTCGCTGTTTTGGCTCATGTTGGTGGTACAGTAGGAACAGAACGAAATCGCAAGTTTAACAGAATTAATTAGTTTGGAATCAGATAAAAATATTTCTTCGTGTTCGTAGTACAATTTCGATCCGTTTTTTTTCCTCATGATGTTTCTTAAATGTTGACACTTCTAGAGGTCTGCAACGTCTAAAATTGAAGAGAAAAGTGTACTGAGCATTTTTTTAGACGTTTCTACTCTCTATGTTTTTTCTTTTAGAAAATAAGTAAGGGTTTTTGTATTTTTGTTATATTTTTTTTGTTAATTAAGCCAAAATTTGATTTGGTGTATATTCTTGTTAAGCTTATAGTACGTGGATGGATTTTTGTAAAAAAAATAATAGAGAATGATTTTTCAGTCAAATTTATTATTGATTTGCTTTTATTTTATTGAAGAAAATAATCACAGTAGAAATCGCGTGGGAAAGTTTTTCTTGTTAGTACTCCTCCAGCACTGTTTGGTTATATGTCAAAGTATTGAAGCATTATCGGATTATATAAGTAAATAGATTCAAAACGCATTAATAATAAAATTTCGTTCGAGCGTTCGTTTTCAACTAGAAAACTGATAAAAAATTATTTGCGAAACAGTATCGGCGATGAACGAACAACTCAACAGTTTGGATAATATTAGTCTCTATAAACACATAGTTTAGCAGTTCGATGTGGAAAGAATTATCGATGATTTTGCCAAAACAAAACATCGAATAAAACTGACAAACAGCTGAACATTTTTTTCTCAATAAGAACTCGTATCGAATGAACAATCTTAATATTTCTAGTAGAAATGTCTTACTTTGTTTTACTTGTTTATTATATGAAAATAAAAAGTTGCCAGTTGATAAGAGCAGACAAACGCAAGTTTTTGTACAACACTTTTACGTTCAATGAGAAAAAAAATTTCATACTATCTCTGAAGGCAAACAAAATCGATTCCCCTTCCTACGCAAAAATGGTCACGAGCCTCTTGTCCAGTTATCTTTGTTGGATTCTACCACGAAACGAATCTTTGGTATTATTTCAGTACTTCTGAAAAAGGAAAGTAAATTTCTTCATTTTATTCGTAAAAGTTCAAATCAAAACGTATTTGCAAATACATACTCATTTTAGAGCATTTTCACGGTCGAATTCAACCAGCGAACGATACGAGTGGTCAGTCGTACCTTTGGAGCAAGAAAATGATTTTTACCCATGAGAACTACCTCAAAAAATTGTGTTTCGTACCTCATGCTTTCCTTACCGATCGAATGTGCCTAAGAAAAACTTTGAATTCACTACTGAGCATTTTAGCGTATTTCTCATCCTTTTTTGCTATGGATTCTATATTTTAACGAGTAAGTATCGCGCTTCTAATTTTTAGTTCAGGATATTTCTGACATCGATGTCATAATGATGCCTTCCTAATTAGAGCCCGTGTTACTCTTTCTCCATAACGACCATAACGACATTACTCTTCTACACTTTCACAACTTTTCAGACCGTTTACAATGTACAAAGTGATCATTAATAAAAAAATTTAAATTCACATTCAAATAAAATCACTTTTCAAGGTATTTTCAGTAGAAAGTGGTACTACTGTTACTTCTAAGAAATAGTAATAGCTATTCCGAGAAAAATTTATAGCACTAGTCAAAAGGGTGTCCTCTCAGTTCGTCCCAAATTGGCTTTGTAAGATCAAACAACATCAAAGGGGCGAGCAGGTGTGAGAGTGAGCAATTTGGGACGAACTGAGAGTAAACCAGTCAAAAGTATGTGTTTGTCGTAAAACAGCACAGAATTAATTCTATAGTCTGTTGTTTGAAGTGTATGTAGTGCAGTACAAATGCTGATCGTAACGACATATGAAGAAAGAATTGCAGGTGAGAAAGAATTACATATGTTCTGCAAATTTTGTGATTATTAAGCATTTTCTAACAAATATTTTTGCAAATATTTTTCTTCAATTCCTTAGTGAAAGAGTCCCTTGTTGCCAAAATCCAATTTTTTTTCGTGAATCACAGAAAAAAACAGAAGCGGTGTAACGCAAAAAGTGGTTACAAAGGTGAAATGATTGCAAAATTCTGCATATTCTACAAAAAAATTTTATACAAAATTCTGTAAAAATTGGTCTTTTTGCAAAATTCTGTGCGCAAGTAGCTCTTTTTTGCGTTATTTTAATGTTTCACGCAAAAATTCTCTGAAAGATGGTTACATGGGCGCGTAGGAACAATCGTTGACATGCATATAAATTTATTAACATTCTTTGACCTTTTTACGTTTTTTATAAAACTAATAATATTTAATATAATTAAAAAACATTTTTGTTCAATCATTTTACATAAAAAACGAGCTTTCGATACTTCACAGTATCATCATCAAATTGAATGAAATTTGACAAAATTGCAGAGTTTGTGTAATTTAACCTTCTCTGCAAGCATGTACAGTAGAGAACTTACAATGGATGAGGGGGATACGGCCGTATCCATCGGAAGTTTTGATTTAATAGTACTCCCTCTGATTTAATAATGAGTTAACCTGTCTTTTCAAACGGCTCTCAAATAATGACTAATTTTCAGAAAATACGCACCTACCGAAAAATGTTTTTAGATTCATCACTGAGTCTCCATGCCTGAATTTATTGATTGTTTAACCAAAAATCTGAATTGTCATCGGTATTTGTGCTTTGCAATTCAAAGAAAACCAATTTCGTAATGTTACTTATTTCTGGTCTGCACATGAGAAGTATTTCTGATGGCAGAGAAAGAAAAGCAGAAATTCTTCATCGAAAATGACCGAAAAAGCGAGACATATGACAGAACTGAGAGTTAAGTTAAAGAAGTTTTTATCTCTCATTCAGCAATCGGACAACATTTTCAGAAGTTTTTCATATATTAATCAGTTATTTACGTTTAAATGGGGTTATTCACTAAGAAGCCTTTGTTGTAGATAGCGAGTCAATTTGTTTTTCAACCGAAGTTAGAATATTTCGTCGAAAAATTCAAATTTCACAAGTAATCTGAAAACCTGAAGATCTGGTAGATCTGCCATTCCTACGGCACATAACTGAAATAAAGAGCTTTTTAATGATAAATGAAAACTACTTTATCCTTGTATAAGCTTGATAGATATTTGAGCTATTTGCAAACTCATTATACCGTGGAGGTGAAAAAATCTCAAAAAATAAAGTTGAATTTGAAATCAATCGGAATCCTCGATGATATAGTGATATACGAGAGACTCACGGAAAAAGAACTTTCTCAACTGTTTTATTTGCTCCTGTTTTATTGCTGTTTTTTTACATACCATGGGATAGATCTCGATGAGATCAATATAATAAAGTGAAGTTCAACTCATCTATACATCTGCTTAGGGTTGTTTGAAGGAAACGTGCAGATTTTAACATCGTCGATTGCCTTTTTACCTATGATAGTAACATGTTTCTTACGAATGTTTGAAACACATATAACGACAGTAGATCGACATATAACGAGGAATCAAATGACATACGATACGACCACTTTTGGTTGAGATTTAAGCATTCTATACGAGGATCAACCTTTCACTACGTTTTTGATACATAAAATCTTAAAATACGTAGTGCGTTCAAAAGTTCTCGGACTGCTTTTATTTAAAAACAACAAAATGAGTTACAGTCATAAATTCATGTTTTCTTTTTCGAAGAATCTCTCCACTGCAGCAATACACTTTTGCCAACGCTCTGGACGCTTTGTATAGCTGCTCTGAAGTCATCTTTAGACAGACGATTCAGACACTGATGTATTGCCGAACATAGTGAACTTTGATTATCGTAGTGTTTTTATCTGATACGGTCCTTTAAAACTGAAAGCAGATAATAATTACTGACAGTCAGATCTCTAAAATGGGAGAGGGATCGCAGCAATTGATATTTAGAATCATGGATAGTAGACGAAACAAGATATGATGTGTCTACTGTAGTAGTATTAAAATATCATCTGAAATTGAATCTCGGGATTATTTTCTAATTTATAGGCGGAGTTGATTTATCAAAATACTTACGTAATATGCCGATGCGGTTAACCGGACGCGTAACCGTCGGTTTTTATGCTGTGTTGTTACGGTTTCAGCTGAAA